TTGAGTGTGGGCGTGTAGAGGGTAGAACCTGAGGTGGGACCTCGTGCGCAAACTCTGACGTGTGGCTGTGATTTATAAATGAAAGATGCGCAGAAATGTGCGTACGCATGGTTTTATAAATGTAAAAAATTTTTTTGGAGTACACCATTTCCGCCTTTTGGCCGTACGTTCACTTTTAGTATGGTTTCCATGCAATCCTTTATAAATGAGACCCCTGGCCTTTATCAGGTTCTAAAATTATGTAAATCTATCCTCAATGGTACAAAAACAGCTGATTGATGCATGTCATTAACTATAAAACCAAAAAGAAAAAGCCTACCTGCGCAGTTATACAGCTCTTGAGGTGATCAGACTGATCCTGATCAGATAAATGTTCTGAGAGTTCCTGGTAGAAAAGGTGAACTCAGCTTTCCCATTAGTTTGATTTTGAATGCACGTGTTTGTGTTTTGTGCACGAGGTTTGATTTGAATTATTTTAGAACCTGGAAATTATGTTCCTGATCAGTAAAATCCAGAACTGGAGGTTCTGCAGATTCTTCCAGTAACACTTGTGTTTGTAGATTAATATCATCACCTCCTCACAAAAACTACACCAGGACTACTCAACAGTCGGCATGACTTCCATCCGGGCTGCCATTAACCCCCCCCGCCCCCCAAAAAAGGCTAGGCCCCTGAAATGTGGGCTTTGAGTAACCCTGCCCTGTACTGCAACATCTTTTGCAACATTAGCACCTGATAAACYCTCCATTCTTCCCGCACTTCACTGTAAACTTTACTGTCTGGAAGTTACTGCAGCTCCATCAGCTGAGTCACTTGGTTTTGAAACTTTGGTTGTGCACATAGTGTAGTGTACTCAGTGTTAAATGTTACAAAATGTTTGCTATTATTTGCACTTCTTTGTCCCACTAAAGGAATATTCGTTGGAAAGTTCTTAAATAAAAATGTTATATTGTAAATTAAATACTGATGTCTGAACCACAGAGTGTCTCATAAAAGTTTTTTTTTATATACAGTATTTATTCAAGTAAAATACATAAAATTTAATCCATAAAATCATCCATAAAGTTGGGGGGTAGTATTATACGCTGATAAATATTTTTACTTATGTATTTTAACTGAAATATTGGCTTCATTCACGAAATTATTGAGTCTGGAAATAAGACCGCGTTGTAAAAAGCAGTTGAAATGAGCTCACCTGTGACACTCCTCCGTGCTTCAGAGCGAGATAACAGATCCAAGCAGGTGACATGATGTGAAAAAAAAGGGTGGAAAAATCAGTCCTGCAGCTCAGTAATAAACTAATGACATTAGCGTGTGACCGGGCCGCTCCTGGAACAACAACAAACACATGTTCGTCTGTAATGGCTGCCGTCTACCGGTGCTCTGAAAAACTTTGTATCCCTTAAAAAAGTTTCCCCACCAGAGGGGGCGCTCGTGAGTAGGAAGTAATCTGCTTTCCCCCCACAAGATGGTCCAAATCTCATGTGAAGTCTCTGACTTTTGTGTTGGCGCCTCCTGGTGGACTATGTGTAAAATGCCAGAATTCATATGATGCTGCTACAGCTGATATATATTTGTTGTCAAAATACCTTTTAGTACATATGTTGTTAAAATAAAATGAACAGTCCAGTGGTCATTTTACTGATACGTATAAAGACTGCAAAGGCTGAAAAATCTTGAAGTCTGTATGAAATTGGAGGTAGTTTGAGGATTAAATTTTTAATGCTTTCTAAGCTAAAAAAAAAAGTGGGGGTCGTATTATACATGAGATCGTATCATACATGAATAAATATGGTAATCACATCATGTAAAAGCACATTTAATTTGTCTAAATTTACTCTTTAACAGCCAAGTTTAGACAATATAAATAATCATCACGGCACCCAATTACAAGGAACTGTTTCCAGACCACTGGGGATGAAAACACCTCTCCAGGTAAAGTATGTGAGGTCAGAGTCCGTCCATCTTCTGCGTCCAGGATCCAGACTGTCCCGTCAGTGGAGGCCACGCCCACCAGAGACCCCCTCCTGCCTACAGCTGAGCCATCGAAGACACATGGAGTGGAGAACACCTTCCCCGTGGTCTGCAGAGTCCAAAGTAAAGAGCCGTCAGCAGAGTTCAGGCAGTAGAGCCGCCCGTCGTGTGATCCACACAGGAACCTCTGCCGCTCTGCGTCGACGCTTGGAGAGGAGAAGACCGGCCCCTCCGTTAGAAACTGCCACAGCTGCAGAGGAACACAGCTGGTTCACAGCTCAGAAAATCAGATTAAACACGTTTTTAATAAAGATCAAGTCTGACCAGTTGACCCGAGTCACTGAAGCAGCAGACGTGTCCATCCACTGAGCCGACCACGACGTGTCCGTGGGAGGAGTTTGGTGAGGAGAAGAACGGCGTTCCTCTGCTGTAGGACCACAGGACGTCTCCACTGTCCTGGAAAACACACAAAAACCTCACATCAGTCTGTTAGCAAAATATGTCATGAACCAGAGGACAGATTTTAGAGTCATCACACAAACCTTTACAGCTGATGACCTTCTGAGGTCAACCGGATTTGAAGAAACACTAGCTGTGTTTACATGGACATAATTAATCGGATCAAATGGCCATTCAGAATAAAAATGCATCATGTAAACACCCCATTTAGATTATTCTGACCCGATTCAGCTCGATCTGAATGAATTTGTAATCGGAATGAGAGAGGTGGTTTATGCCGATTGATAATCCGAACGACGTGCATGTAGACACTTAATCTGACAGGGTTCCTACAGTTAAGGCAAGTTAAATTTAAGACATTTTAAGACTTTTTAATGCCAAATGAAATCAATTTTAAAACCAATTTCACAATAAACACAAATGACAAAAAAAATTTAAACTGTGGCAAAAACTCATGAATCAAAGTATTTTTCATTAAATTATTCAAAAATTGCTAAAAGACCAATTGTTTTATTCATATTTAACTGCCTTTTTCTCAAATATAGCAAAAAAACCCATTCTTAGCAGTCAGTTTTAAACTTAATTTAATTTCTGGAAATCCTCTAATGACCCGAAATTTGTTGTTTTAGGACCCACAGTGAGTTCTCAACCCCAGCTTGCTGTAGATGAAACCTTAAAGTGCCTGTG